AAAGTCTAACCGAAAAGAGATAGTGTTACACAAACAATAAAACGTTAGTTAACTTTCTGTTACTATCAGTTGCGTAGATTGGCATGCAAACATAACCGGCTAAACAAACAGCCGTACAGGCAAGGAGAAAACCCATCCGATAAAATCCCGTTACCTTTCAATCATTTAAACGTTGTCGAAAGTGACGTTGATCGTTTACCCGGACGCGAAATTGCCACTTTTTAGCAAAAATTTCCCTCGTAAGAGCTACGAATTCACCCTGGATAAATGATGCAAGCGATTACATAAACGTTATAATAATTGGACTATGTCAAGCCAAGCTTATTTTGGAGCTTTTGACGAACGATCCGCCAAGTCATTATCTGTAACTGACGATGAAAAACAGGGCCCACGTTCCGAGTGGGTGCTTAGAGTTTGCTGTGATGGTAATGGAGGTAATTATAAGTGAAGCGTAGAGTCATATCCTCTGTGTCAGGTCTCGTCACATCCACGTCGTGTTGTGACTTACGATGTAATTGCCTTATAATGGAACATGAAAATAAGCCAGCAGTAGTAGACCAATTGAGATATTTTTAAATGAAAAATGAGCTTCTATTCAGGATTTATGTCTTCTTGATGTTCCAAGTTGGAAAATTATTGCAACAAAATACGAGTACTTGTGTAAAAAATTCAAACGGTCAATTTTAACGGCATTATCCCATACTGACGCATAATTTGACACATTTGTTTCGTAATTCAGTAATGTGTAAAAATACAAATGAGTATAAACTTGAATATTCGTTGTGCATAAGGTCGGCAGAGCCACATATGGGGACCGAGGCAAGTCGTGGCTGCAGCGTGACGTGTTTACTAACACTGCGCTCAGTTTACAGTCTCGAATGCACCCGATATAATCCATGCCAGCGATGACATACATCGAAATGGCGCATGAAATGTCCCACATACGCATGACCGAGTCGTGCCAAATGCAACGCAAACCACTCGGCGCCAGTATATGTCTCTGATTACGAGTGCTTATACTAGCATACCAAGTTATATGGGCAGAGATAATTCTGTTTATGCCAATTGTAGGTTATTGCAATCATGAAACTGTCGGTTTAAATATAATATTTACAGTAAAAATATGATTACGATATCAAGTCTTTAATTGATTATTATTTATAATGAAGTTGAACTTTGGGCGTAATCTAAAGCGTCACCAATATTTTAAAAATGAACGAAAAAATATACTTTCTTAAATGTAAGTTACGATGTTCATCGTGAACTGCCTTATCAACAGACTTCCAAAATAAAGCATGCGCACGCACAAATAACAGTTATAGTTCAACGTTGAGGATGAAATTCAGCCTCACAAAAACGTTGCTTGGATCATAAGTAATAACTGAACTAAAATGCTAGCTTTCTTCGTTAATTATGAGCTACGATCGAGAATACGAGTCCAGGAGTTCCAGGTCCGTAACGTGCAGGTTTCCTGTAGATGCTATCACAGTAATTGCATAATCTTTCGGCTCTAAGGTAAACGTTGGGGCAAGGCGCAGCTATACACTCAGGAAAATGAATTTGTCGTTTTGTCTAAATAGTAACGCCCTTTCTGCAAGTTGCATTGATACGCCCTAAGCTGCGTCAGGATGACCCACACAAGGGGCAAGAAATGCATCGCTATTTGGATAAAGTCTCGCTCATTTTTCTGAGTGTATATCCTGGCTCTCCCACTCTCATGGGGCACAATGACCGTAGATCAAGAAAGATACTCTCGGCATTCATCTTTAATATGCAAATTGTGGGATATTGGCGCACTAATCACGCGCGATTTTCCAGAGATAATCACAATGAGCTCGTTCAAACCCCTACCAAAATTGCTACAAGCAAGTCGTGAGCTTAAGCAGTGAATTCTGTAAAGGTTTTGACTTTCACCGAAAATTTGAGAACTTTACCTGGGATGAAAAAAAAATTATACAGGGGGTGAGCCTTTAGCTTGAGCTGGTTCAGGAATTCGCAATTAATTTCATATGATGTATAGATACGTAAAAGGCGCAACGTGATGTCCGCTAAATGAGTACAATGACGTTCAGACAAGACGCTCAATAAAAAGCTTTGGTTCCTCTGGTCAATTTCCAGTGAATGTCACAGGGATGAATCCTTGTCAACCTAACCTCGTTCGCAGTCAGTAACCGTTCTGCGTTTGATAAATTGACACGACGCACATCGTTCAAGTTCAGGGGAAACTGTCAAAAATTGTCCAGGAATTTGGTAGAAACCTTTCAATTAAAAAATGAATTACATGTTCATATAAGTTGCTCATTCTAGCCATAAAAAAATAAAAACGTTTAACAATCGTACTCACGTTTTGTGAATTCGCGAACGGGTTGAGTGGCAAGTTATATCCAGCGGCTGCGAAGACGTCGATTTACCTAAAAGTTGAATCTTGCATATGGATATGATGCATGTAACTCAAAAGATTTCCTTCTGTTCCACAAAGCCGACTTGTAGAACAATACGGACTAGAAAGATATGCCCAATTTGGCATAACATTGATCCTAGTTAACAAAACAAGTTCGGTCAGATAACTGAAACATACCAACCTATAAGGTTTGGTCCAAGAAACGTTCTAGGTAAGATACTCGGATGGAAGAACTTCCTCAACACAGTTGTTCGCCCATCATCTCTCTAATCTAATAGTACGCAGGATCACAGTAAAGGTCCCTGAACAGGAACTCGGGATGAAGAGAACTTACTGAAGAAGAAAAGCATTTCAGATATAATAGCGTATAGTATCAGCTGGTCTTCATACGCCATCAACAATGAAATATCACGATTCACAGTTCACTAAGCGCTGCTGCACTATGCATAGTTCCGTCACAACTGGCGTACCCGAAATCGGCCAATACGTTTCAATTGATTAGTTGCATCATTTCTGGCATCTCATTTTTCTCAAGAGGGTAGTGCAGACAAAAAATACTGGTGAGTGAGGTGACGCCATCAGTTGACTGTATCCTCCAGTTAGGGTTTAACACATTTTAATGCACAATCTCGTTGTACATAGGTTTCTTCTTTTTATTTTCCAATATCAGTTCATAATTGTCTACATTAGTCATCTTAAGACTTATTTTCGGATGCAAAGACAACAAATGGGCGTATCAATTAACAATTCCGGATTACTTATTTGCACTATTCTGAATTCGAAAATTGAAATGGAACAATAGTGGCAGTAATAAAAATTAGGTTCCATGTCTTGAGTAATTCGGCATTCTTGCTAGACAGCGGAAAGATTCTAAAATGTTTACTCAAACAATGTCATCACTTAATTTCATGCTAAATTTTGCTTGCTTGAAAAACTGGGCCGTCTTCAATTTTCAGAACTCTCATAAATTAGAGAATTAATATTTCTCTAGTGTCTAGACTATTCCGTAGACATTTCAGCAATAATTATAATAAAGACCTTAAGGAAGAGACCCCAGTCAAGTACACTACAGTCTTGAGCTAGTGCTTGAGGCTAGACCGCTAGCTTGAGTCTAGAGTCTAGACTCTAGAGTAGACTCTAGGGTGAACTTGTGAAGAGTCAGAGTCTACCGGGCCAGTCTCTTGTGGGTTCTGAGCGAGGAAGGGTGTGTGACGCAGTGTTGATAGACCATGCGTGTGGGAGCTCTGTGATGATACGAAGTCTCCAAACGTTACTCTTTAGAATTTAGATTCTATATTTGCATGTGTTTGATGTTCAAACTAAAGGTACACTGAGTGCTACGTGAATAATTTTTTAAAAAACGATTTGTAAAAACCTGTAACGGTTGGAATAATAAATTTCATGACTGAACATGAATTTTTGGCAGGGAACTACCTAAGGCAGAAGTAGGCTAACTTGTCAAACGCGTTAGTTGGCTTTATTCAAGTTTTAAGTTGTTCACTCTATTTCAAATGCACATTAATGAACTCAAGTGGCAATGAATTAGTAATAATTAATGACAAATGAAATAACAGTTATGGACTTTTTCTACATAGTCTCATTCTGTTCTAGCGAAATAATTACCATGTAGTGTTCACCGTTACTTTCCTTGACCATTTTCTCGCTTAATCGAAATTTGTTAAAACTCAGTATTAATTTTAAGATTTAGGACTTGTTTTCCCGTTGGCTAATAATAGGTAGCCCACTCCTGCTTGTTTAACCTAACAACATCACCAAACAATCTATATTCTTCTTTTTTATGTTATGAACTAAATCTGCGATGACTTATTTGATTTGTAGGCTAGTTATCGACGCACTTTTTTAACATAAATTCAACCCTCGAATATATTTGTTCTCATGATTCATGAACACCTAACAATTTTTGCAAATTCTAAAAACCCTGTCATTGCCTGTGAATGTGATGCTGTGAATTGGCCGTGATCTTATAGTTGACGAAATAAATGCGATTCACTCCGCACAAAACATCTACCACTCTCAGGCACTCGGTTGACTAGTTCTAGGTAGTGCATTGCTAACAAAGTCACAAGGAACCGGAAAATCCGCAAGGATAAAGTTAATCCTATCGCCATTTGGTTGCCCCTCCTAACTAATTGTGAGAATCTTTGTTAATGGAGCCAGGACTCAGGAGGAAGATAATCTATTGTCTGAAAAAAGATTGTGCCTATGGTTCTCAGTTTCTGTTATCGAAAATACATGGACTCTGATTGATGATTGAGTAAACGGACAAAATTTGTTGTTATTCTTGAAACGCGTTTGCACACAAATTGCAAACGATCTCAGGCTAAAACCGGACCTGGTGCTCGCAGCTGTTGTAAGCTATTACTGCAAATGACCTGCACTTTTCGCATGTATGCAAATTATTGTTTGCTACTTCTATTGAATTTCTACGGTATAAGTGATGGTTATTTTTTGCCAGGTTAAAAAAAACTATTTCTACTGTCGTTTTTTCAGGAGTTGAAGTGAATTGAAAATCGAGATAGCCTATTTATATCCATCAGCGAAATGTTAATTTAAAATTCTTAATCACAAGAAATATAGAACAAAACCACAAAAGAATTTCGAAAAAATTTCCTTGAGACAAAAAAAAAAGTCCGAACGCATTAAATGAATCACGCAAAACGTAGCCTGGGCGTAGCGAGTTAGTTCGGCTTTATTTGTCGTCCGTGAATTATTTTCCTTAGGAAAACAAGACGCCCTCGGTTTAATTTGATTACTCGCCACGGGGGCTGTGGCGGCGCTGCTGTCGCTTCCCGAACTCCTTCCGCCGCCAACCCCGCACCATGAACAGGTATAATTTACTTTTATTCCGTTTTTTTAACTCATTGCGTCTTTTGCTCCCATTGATTGCTTATTATTTACACTTATGGCCTCTTGTTTCACACTTTATCTCCTTTTTTAACGTTTTTTTATTTGTTGTTTCATAACTTCCTTATAAGTGGCGAGTGTTGCTTCTCATGTTGCTCTTTGTTGCTTTTTTTTCGATAAGAACTTTTAATTTCTAATTTATTACTTCTAATTTTCATCAAACTTCTTCATTTTACTTAATGTTTTTTTTAATTTCTCGTTGCCGTTTCTTCGCGCAATGTGTTTTACTTTCTGGCGCAAAGTTGCATTGCGCGTTGTCGGAAATATTATTTGTGTAAAGGTAATTTGATTTAAAGGATCGTATTTTTAGAACCATTACCGTAACCATGGCATAGCTTTATTTTTACTGTTTGATATACTGAGTTTTCAGTATCAAGTCCTAATTAAGTTATTTCGGAGGTGATTTGAACTATTGAGAAACTATTGTCGCGAATTTGGCGACAAGGGAAATTATTGTTTACGGTCAGCTTCCCTAAATTCGTAAAACGCACTGTGTGCATCAATAACTTCTTGAAAATGTACAGGGTGCGCCACAGAAACTTACTTATTTGAAAAAATTCCTGTGCGGTTAGTTGGTCGGGTAGAGGGGCGAGAGGGGGTGCATCTGAAGGGGAAAGTTCCCAAGTTTGTTTCTCAAAGTTTCTCAAATAAATTTGCTGTAGTGCAAGAATTAACTGAACGCGATTTTGTTGCCCCTCAAAATAAATGTAAAATGCTGGTTGACAACCTGCCTGAAGACGCGGTCGTTTTTTTCAGTGGCGAGGCTCACTTCCACATTTCCGGCTGCGTCAACAGGCTAAACATGCGTTATTGGTGTGGTGTAAATCCACGTGAGTTTCACCAGAAGCCACTTAACTGTGAGCGAGTTACTGTCTGGTGTGCGACGTCGGTAATGGGAATAATTGGTCCTTATTTTTTTAAGAGAACGAACGCGCAGTTACCGTTAATGGAGCTCGTTACAGGAACATGATCGAGGAACTTATTCTCCAAGACTCGAAGAAATGAACTTTAGGAACGTGTGGTTTCAGCAAGATGGAGCCACAGCACACACAGCACGAGACTCGATGAATTTGTTGCGACAACATTTCCCCGACCGCCTCATTTCTCTCAGAGGCGATCTCCAATGGCCGCCACGCTCTCCAGGTTTGACTCCATGCGATTTCTTTTTATGGGGATATTTGAAATTTCTGGTTTATGTCGATCGACCACGGACCATAGCACACCTCAAGAACAACATTCGCGACGTCATTGCCAAAATACCGATTGATATGCTGCATAGAGTGGAAATCATTATGAAAAAAGCGACTTCATTAGTTAATGCGCAATGGAGGCCGTCATTTATGAGATTTCATTTTCAAAACTGTATGAAAAAAAATTTGGGATACTGTTTTCTCGAATAAAAAAAAAATTTAAAACAATAACTGAAGTACTTTTGTTTTTATTGACCTTTCAAATAAGTAAGTTTCTGTGGCGCACCCTGTATGATCGAGACTCGACCAGTTACTCTCAGGCCTCGTGTTCGTCCAGCGCTCGTAGTGTGGATACGAAGCAAGCCAGCTTTCCCTGACGCAAAAAAATTCACTTGTGGTGGAAACTAGCATGATACTTCGCGGTTAAATGCATGAAGTTTTTCTTACTTATACTCATTCTGGTGAGATGAACAATTGTAATTATGTGTTATGCATCCAAAGTTCACACTCACAGAAATCAGTGAGATCTTGTCCAAATATCGATTCACTTCTTGCCGGGGTCGGCCTTATCCTGCTTCACTGGGTAAAAATTTGCAACATTGCTACGACCGCTCTCTGCTCATGATGTGAAATATAAGTACCGTACGTATGCTATCATTTGAACAATATAACTCAATCATTTTCCTGAGTGATGGGCAAATGTCTCATTTCCATCAACCAATGAAAAACTCTTTGCCTGGTCTCCTGCATTGCTCTGCATCGAAAATGAAGATGAGAAGTTTTAGTGTTATGGATCACTGGTCTTTCTGTGTGTGACTTTTTTTGACACATGTAGGTATTGTTTTCCTGGTCCGTTTGCTCTAATTTCGTCAATATTGGAGCTGGTCCATTCTTCATTTATGCATGTGATAGAATACAATGAAAGTGAATGGGTTGCATTGTTCTCCACTGCAAGTGGGCATTTTCAGTTACTGAGTTAGGTTTCGTTCCGCACTGTAATCCACGTGAACGCCATGTTAGTACTGGACTGGACTAGTTTATACATGCCGCTCTTACAAACCAATGTTTAAATTCTGATACTGCAAATTCTATTTTTTTAATGTTTGCTGTAAATTCCGGTTATGTTTATAATTTTATCCTTAACATCTATAGGTTCTCATGCCGCACCAAGTTGACTGCTCTGCAGCATATCTCATTCTGTGCAGTATTTATACGATCCCCAGAACAACACACGATGAATCTTGTCAGTCATTTTATCCACTTGTTATTTTGGCATTGCATCTATTTGGTATCCATTTGTAATTCTAGCAGAACATTTCGTCGCGGTGTAGGCATACGCAAGCTCTGGTCAACCTTGCCGGTATAGGAGCGTGTTCCCTGCAAAAGTTTCGGTTCACCTGCATTGCTTATTGGCGATACTTGGAAGCAAACTTTTGTGGTATGATAGACAAAGTTAGACCTGCATGTGGCTCGAGGAGCGGGACGTGTAACGTGGCTTCGCTTGTGTTTCAGACTTGAATTCCCAGTTTACTTTATTCAGGAAGATACTAAAAGTGCAAAGTTTCTTTCTTGGGCTTAGCGCTAATTTTTCTCGGTAAAAGCTGGTCTGTATAATTATTATTAATAGGTACCTACTTAAAATGGTTCCGAGACTCGGTCCTAACCAATTAAGACTGCTTTGTTCTCGACTGTTTCGATCGTGTAGCAACATGTCAGTTTTGTCCTTTTAATTTTGTGAATTAAAATTTTGTTGGATATAACAATTTATTTGCATTTCTTTATGATGCTAAGACTTCAAAACTTAACTGCGTACAAAGATCTTCGAAAATTCAAGTACTAGCGTTTTTGAATACTGGGCATTCAGTTCGAACAAGAAATTAAGTCGGGCTAGACCTCGCCTTTCTCTTCGTTTTTTTTTCGGAACGGTTTGAATCCATGTCACAATTGTGCTTGATATTTCCGCTTGATATTTTATACACTGGCTCATTTCTCGAAGTATATATTGACATACGAAAACGTGCGTAACGTTTGAAAGAAGAAACGAGCTTTACGTTCCGCTAATCCGTTTAAAATTACGTAAATCGACGATGTTTCTGCTGGTCTTGCTGAATAAGCATTTTTTATTGTAGTATATGTATTTTTTATTGGTAAAAGATACTATAACGATGAAATAGGGAAAGGCTATGGATTTAAATTTTAGGCCGAACTTTTGCGACTGAATTTCGTATCAATGGTCTTCGATCGTATACTCAACCGATTATTAGGATGACATTCAGTGGGATTTGTGAAAAGAAATTGAATAAGGAAGTATGTACTTAATTTTTTTCCTCGTACTCTAGGGACAGTCAAAGTTAGTCAGTAAATCATTTCGATATTTTGCGTACTATAATAAAAAGTTGTTAACATAAGATGAACATAAAATATAAATGCTCAATGCTCAATGTCACGGTTTAGTTTAATATTGTAAGAAATAAAAGTTGTTTTTCGCTCGAAAATGTGCGGTCACTTTTCGTTGGCGGAGTTGAGACCCGTTGAAAAAATTAAGAGTCTACGGGAGCCGCCCTTCATTGTCGGTCACGCTTAGGTATCTGAAAAATGTTTTATTTTAAAAAGATTTCTGATTTCAAATTCGTTTATACATAATCTATTTTTGCATTTAGCTACGATTTCCTGTCTAAAAAACCTCGAATCAATCTAAATTTCTTCTATTACGTATGGTTTCCTAGTTCTGGGATTAACCATAGCTAATCTCATGTTGTTGAAAACCCAATATAAAAATTTCCAACCTAACTTCCTGATGGGCATCGTACTTGGGTTGCGTTTAATCATCCCGCCTCACTTCTTCATAGAAGCTGTCAGCAATATAAAAAGCAAGAGCTGTCACGCGTCATCTTCAAAGTGAGACTCTCGCTTCGGCTGACGCCTTCATTGATGGATGACTGAGAACTTGGGTTCTTCACGTGTTACGCAACACCTGCTCTTGTAAAGAATGCTCAACTCTCGTTACCCACATAGGCCGATCCAGTCGAGCTCAAATAGAGATGTGGGCCTATAGCCATAGGTAGAACTAAACTGTGTTCGCCTCTGTTCAGTGTGATTTTTCATTATCTATTAAGTGTTACTGTTTGATACTAGGCCCTCAACGTACCTTTGATCACCGCTGATGATGTACATTGCTCAAACTGCGGCACTGTATGAATCCTTACGGTGAAAGTTAATTAAGAACTTAGAAATTTTTTTGTAGAAGTATATATGCTATTTCTCCGGTCTTGTAGCTTCTCCGGTCTGCTTTTAAATTTCGTTTTTGATAATGAAGTCAGTACAACGTTTTTTTGTATCAAGTTCGAATATCACGCATTATCCTACAGAAAGAGCTTAATGAAAGCTATTTATGCAAGACTCCACTAGTCCACTTTCTGTCATGTACCTACAGTGATGAGACTTTAGACCGGGTCCTTCTCGTGTCCAGGCTTGCGTGTCCCATGACTAGGAGTGCTTTAGCCGCTGCCGGGGCAATTGCTTTGTGACCGGCCGTACCTCACGGAGCTCAGCATGCCATTGATGTCGTGCCTGTAATTACCTCGTCGATGAAGACATTTCTGTGTTCACTATAATTGCTCTTCTCCGACGGTTGTGTGGAGACGAGCCATCCTTTCCTTGACTTCATTGTTCGATGTCGACGCGTCACGTCCTCTGCCAAAATCGGCGTAGAACATCCGCGGCCATCGTGAAATTGGGTTTCGTGTCGTAAGAATCGTGTGTAACTTTAATTTACTTTTCTTCAATTTTGTATAGGTAAATTCGAAGTCAAAATGTAAAATTTCACAATTATCATTTCCAATGTTTAAGTGTGAAGTGTCGGTCTCATTCTATTTAGTTACAACAATTGACTGTGCATGCAAGCGCAGTTTTGTATATATATACTAGTATATATTTGTCTCTCAATCTCTCGAGCGCTAAACACCAAGTGTTCGTTAGTCTCGCATATTTAATTCCTTGGCAGGTTTTCGTTTCCAGCATGCAGTCCTTCAATTCCGGTCATTACTGGAGCTGCCCGCAATATTTCCTGTAAGATCTTCTCGACTCATTAGTCCCAACAAAGAAAGAGAGTTGATGTGACTCGTATTGATAATGAAAGGATGACTGACTTGACTCTATAGTTCCTTTGATGTTGGCGTGAAAGATTTATTTTCTTTGTGTGCTCGAGTTGTCCTTGTGAGGTATAAAATAAAGATGTGCATCCTTTGGGAATATTTTCTCCGGCGACTTCTGTCGAAGTAAATGCCATAGAAATTATTTAACATCCATTCACACACATACTATGTAACGAAAGGAATTCTTAAAGTTTCAATTAGTGGTCAACCGAACAACAAAATATTACATTTATACAAAATTTTACGATCAATTGTCTCCTCCGTGTGCAACTTCAAATTGTGTTTGAAAATTCTTTTGTGTGAATATTATATTTTACATTTATAAATCAAGCTCAAATTAATTGTGTGCTAAGGTGTACTTAATAAGATTTAGTGTCCTGACACTGAAATATTCGCGGTACTTGAATAATATGGACAGCGAAACTCGACGAGCCCAGCTCAGTTTTTTTCAATCAAACCTGTTGCGCTCGCTGTTCTGGATCAGGCAGCGCTTGTAGGTAAACATGTTACGGAATATTTAGTCTATCTGATAGATGTTCAATGTCTACCTCGGACAACATATAAAATATTTATTGAATATGTATGTGGTCGCGTGTTTTGTGCAACTGTTAGTCGTCTTCCATGTGAATAATTTGTGTGTTAGTACGTAGTGCTATTGCAATGCTTCGACAGCTGGACTTTTCAACGCTGGCAAATGTTGTGAGCATCTATGTACAAAATGAGAATAAGAAGAGAGCTCATATATCTATATATTTCTCTTGAATATTTGTTCAGATTATCACAGGAGAGACGATTGTTTGTTGCTCTATATTCTACGAATTTAATAACATTTATGGCTCTCTTTGAACCTAATTTTGTTTACCGTTAGATTCTCCCCCAATCCTCCTCAGAATTACTCTTTAAGTAACTAGTAACTTGCGATATCAGAAATAAATATAACTCAGTAGTACTCACTGCAGTGAGTGACAGAGAGCGCATTTTCTCGTCGACGAAAACTTGAGGTCACGGACAGACGGACAGACAGACAGACAGACGGGCATGGCGAGCACAATAGTGCATTTTTCCAAAAATGAGAAAATGAGCTAAAAAGACTCGTAAATTCATTCAAAACTGGAAAAAATTTATGGAAATGAAAAATTTCTCTTGATGAAAAAAATTTTCTTAGTAAGATTGAAAAATCAAATATTTAAATTCATATAATTTGGTTATCTTATTTAGGTCTGCAATTTTGATCTGCGTTTCTTACACCACAATAATGGCGAACAGTTTACGAGGATATATTTTATTCAAATTTAACCCTAATTTGTTGTTGCGTTTTATGCGCAGGTGTTGGGAGTTGGAGTGGGGTTGCTGGGAGCGGTGATGGGGAGCAGCCTGCCCATGGAGTGGGATGAGTGGGATTGTGATTGTGGAGGCCAGTCCCCCCCTGTCTTTGACCTACCCCCGCCCCCACCTCCTCCCGACCTATACGTGAGTCACAACGTTCTTAATTTCATACAAGTCTAATCATTCCTAATTTCATTCCGATTCCAACCTTCTTTCAGTTGAAGTTCAGTTCTACAACTTCGGTTGAGAAGAAAAATTATTTTCTTCAATTCGCCAATCACAAGCAAAATTATTAGTTGGAATGATTACACTAATTACATGCTACTAAGTATTCAAGCATAGGTATATGCAACAGCACTTTATAGTGAGGTGTTATGTTCATCATGACAAGTGTTTTAATTTCCTAGTTATATAGCAGATCGTTTGCTGTAAAAACAACCCCAGTATGTTGAAACTGTATTTTTCTGTTATTTTTCCAAGTTTAATCACCACTACAGTTTGTTATTTTTAACTCTGTTTCTCTGCACTAAACAAAACATTAATTTGTCCCCGATCAAGAAATAAAAATTTCGTAAAATTTATACCAAGAATTTAAAATTTAATTCAATCACATGTTTTATTGTTTTGCTTTAATATGTGTGCTTAAGAATCTATTTTAGCTGAGGATACGCGTTGAATTGGGGTAGTGTTAAAAAAAATACTGTTAGGGACCAACAGATCAGTATAGGTACATAATAATCAATTTTTTAAAGTCCACAGTTAGGTTAATTACCTACAAATGGTAGCTGAAAAGTGAAGGATTAAATAGTGAAGATAACTGGAATGTTTGGACCTTCTCGAGAATCTTTGAAACGAGTATTTTTTCGACTGAGAGTAGGCCATACAAGAAACTAATAATAAAAATATAAAAGGATGACAAATTTTCCGTTACGCACCTTAATTCAACAATTGAACATCAAAACAAACTAAACGAATGACACACTCAAATATAAAACGCGTACACCCACAAAAAGACGTTTCTATGTTACATGTATTCTACTGGAAGATAAAAGTATGTCATATTTAAATTAAATCTCGCTTTAGAACTTTGACAGGCTGGTGTTCGCCAATCAATTATTTTCAAAGAAAATAAGATCAAAGTCATTTCAATCTTGAATAGAACCTTTACATAACTTATTCCAAAATGGTGCCGATAACGGTGTTAAAACATTAATGCTGAAGGAAAGTAATTAAAAAATATTATTTGTTATTATAATTTGCTGTATAATTATTTCAATCAAACATATCAATTGGGGCTATTAAATAATTGCCATTATTGAATCGATTAAAAATATTTATTTCTTCTATTTCGAATCTGATCAAACTTGTCGGTTGATGCCACTTCTGCAGTTTATTTTTTAAAAACTCTAAATAGTACTTCGTATCCTTTTTGTAAAACTTTGTTCTCTCGGCAATATGTAGCGTTAGCCGTATTGCGATTGAATGCCCATTTAAATCCCAGACCTTTGTCTGAAGTAAAGATTAATTTTCTGAAAAAGAACCGTTATTATCCGCGTATTTAAATCCGTTTTATGAAATTGAGAACTTAATTTTCCTAACTAAGGACTTGTGCCCGAAACTTCTATGGTGCAATTCTTCCTGGGCGAAGATTTCTTGCGTGTAGGTTTTGTGGGTATTGTCCCTCGTATTTAGAGATTTGTGTTCCGAAACAACGGTTATTGCTCCTCGCGTGGAGATTTGTTTCAGGAAACTCTGAGGACATTGTGTCTTGTAGAAATAGGATTGAATCTTTCCAGGCGACGGAGTTGGTTCTTTCTCGACGAACTCGGCGAGATTAAATTGCTGCGTCGGCCGCCTCATTGTGGTGCTCCTGCCTCTGTATTTGTTCTGCTCGCTTCTCTCAACCTCATTCAATTTGCTGCAAAGTTTTCTCTTAAGTGCATCATAATAATTGGCAGATTTGTCCTTTTAATTAAATAATTTTTTGATTTGAATTAAACTTGAAATCACATTCAATCTTTGTAAAGGATCTTTCTACTCGAATTATTCATGGTGCGCTATAACAATTTCTGTTATTCCCAACTAAGTCGCTCAATATGTTGCAGTAATGATCAAATGTCTTAGTGAATAATTGTAAATTTCCAATGGGTTACTCCCAAATTATTTTAAAAATTTTGTTCATCTGAGGATTGCAGTGTAATAATTGGTCTGCATCAATCGCATTCTAGATGAAATGTGTCGGTTTCACACATAGGCTGTGTCATGAACTTCATGAAGTATAAAAAATATTCTTTATCGCTGATTTATTTTGTTCTTTTCCATTCATTTCTTTTCTTTTATTAACACAAAACTCACTTAATGTTGCAACATACTCGCTTCAAACCATGATAAGGAGAGAGTCGTCGATAAATACAATAATTAATTACAAATACGATGATCATTATTTATTTATTTATTTCTTATTTTCAAAGATTATTCCTATTCATTTAATTTTTGATGATTCAACCATAGTTCCGCCTCATTTTAATTAGTTTTCTCCTGACAGTATCTCCTAGGCCAGTTGCTATAGGCCTTTTTAAATAACGTAGAAAAACAGTCAGTGAGAATTTATTTGTCGGCCATGCCGTGAAATTAGACCATGTCGCTGTTTTTTTCAAGTATGGTTCTAGTTTCAAATATTTTAACATGACGAAAAAATGTCGAAATTTATTTTACTTCTATATTTATTTATATTTGTATGCCGGCCCCTACAATACTGATCAGACTGTTTAGCCATTTTTTCCGAATAGCATATAATTACGAATAAGTTTGATGATTAGATGATTAATGCATCTGTAGATAAGAGGTTATATATGGTTACGACTACTCATTTATTTAAAATAAAAAACTAAACCTTAAATATTTTTACTAGCGGCAATACGGGTTATTTACAACCATTTTCTTCACGATTATTATTACAAGATTATTCACGTCAATAATCGTAAACATTCATTTACTTCGTGTTCAGGCTGCGATGCTGCACGCCGTGCCCACGTCCTCGGGGCAGGACTCGTGGTCTGGGGACTGTCCTGCGCTGTGGACGTGTCCAGCGCTGCTGGGGGCGAGGGGGGAGCCAGCGCCCTCCAACTCCCGTCTGCCCGTCACCCTCGTCGTCGCCACCGCCATCAGCCTCGTCATCCTCGTCATCATCATCGCTGCGGTTGTCTACAGGTGAGCTCGATAGAGTATCTTATTGGGGGTCGTCTGAGCTCTGCTTATGTAGAAAGCAATGCTTGATCTGCTCAGTAGCAATAGCGTGTTCTGCTCAATAGGAATAACGTGTTCTGCTCAATAGGAATATTAGGGTACTCTGATCAATAGGAATAGCGTGTTCCGTTCAATAGGAGTAGCACGTTTGATTGCAGGATTGTTCTTTCTCTAATAAATTCTTTCAAATATGTTTAGGTTTGAATTAGATTGTGTACCCAAAATTCTGCTGGCTACCGAAAGAATTTACGTCCGATTTGGAGAATGAAGGCTTAGAATCAGACAAGGAGGTCACATCTGATCCCTTACTTCTTTGGCATTGACTTTTGCGTGTAATTATTATAATAATTGTTTCTGTTTGTTGGTGAGATTTATCTAACATTCTAATCTTAGGTAAACATCAATTCACATCCCCAGGTTCAGAATCACCAGATGTCGGACGGCCAAGAACTGCACCGAGATGAACGGCGGGATCGTTTACGAAGACCTGCCCTCAGCCCCTCCCCTGCTGATCACCCCCAGGGGGAGAACCGGCTCCCGGTACAAGCCCCCCCTGCTACACCAGCACCAGCTGCGCCACCACCTGGCAGAGCGCAGCCTGCACGTGTACACCCCTGAGCCCCACCAGCTCACCACCTTAGGGCATCACAGATACCACAGCATATCCTCAGGTCGGTGCGGCACTGTGTCAAGCTAGTATATTATATATTAGAGCTTTTTTATAGGTTATTATACATAATGTAATGAATCATCATTAAATTATATTGTACCTATTACCGTATATTATATTAAATTATATTATGTTATGTTATATTATAATAGATTATATTATACTATACTATATTATATTGCCGTAAAACGAGGTGACATGGACCATTGACTTGTACCATTTTGACATTTGAGAAAAGAAAAACTTATAGGTACTAAAAAAGTTCTTACCTTCGGAAAAATTGTGTTGATGGCTCTTGGAGTACCATGAGATAACTGACATACGTATGCAATTAAAGAGATATTTTTTTATATATGGGCTATGTAAATATTTGTATCACAAAAGGTAAGCTCCAAAAATGGTCCAAGTTTCTACGGCATACTATATTCTATTATATTATATTACATTACATTGTATCATATTATATTGAAATGTATATATGAGTTTGTTGTTGCCTTTACGTTCTACATTTTTTTATTGAAAGTAATTGGCAGAGCGCAGCCTTCACTTATACCTACACCCCCGAGCCCCCCCAACTCACCACCTCAGGGCATCACAGGATTCTAAACTTTAGTTTCTAGAATTTCTTAACTTTTGATGCTTGCACTAAATTCTATTGCAGGTACTACTGCTCGTTTTGAACAAAATAAATACAACAGCGAAAATTTGGGGGTACATCTTCCACGACCATTTCATGTCGAATTCTTATACATTTATTATGTTAAAATTTCATTGTTACTAGTTGATAATTGTTTCTTTTCTGGTTGTGCATCAGAAAAAATATTGATGGTATAATTGTATTTATATTCTTTCGAGTTTGCAACAAACTTGAACATTGGTTTTGCATAAAAAAAGAAGCTTCTTTCAATAGGGCAAGGCAACATGGCACATCTTCGGTGTTTCTAATTAACTTCGAGTTGTCAAGTAGGAATTTGCTTACACGCACCGTTCTCGGCTGGAGATCTGAATCTCGTAGAGCTGTTCCAAGCCTTGCTTCAACCAGCGTAATATGTAGTGCCTGGAAGCTTATAGGTTTACCTGTAACCTGTATGTCTATTTCACTCCAATACAGTTTGTTGACGAATCATGGTTGGTAATTTGTTGTTTTATTTTGTTAAAAGAAGTGCAAAACTAAACAATAATGCAGCAGGTCTTATTGGCGGCAACCTCATGATGCTCTTTTCAGGACTTCAAGTTGCATCACGTTGTAAGCCTTGTGTTACTTCTAATTTTTATTTGTTCAGTCATGCCTGGGAATGACCATATCGAAGATCATTGTCTGTAATTGGGCATTTTTCGTTCCTCAGGAGGGACGGAAACTTGTAGTTGCAGCATTAGCGAGACCCCGAGCTGTGCCTTGCTTCCTCATGCACCCAGCTCTGACACGTCGTCCGCTGCTCCACGTCCTCTGCTCTCAAGCGACGATGATACCCCAACACCATCACCTTACCACTACTATGCTGGCCAACGACGACCTTCTAATTCTACACTGTATGAAAGTTTGTATTATACTGGCAGCGCGAGCAGCAGTCGGTCTTCCAACTCGCATTCAAGAGCGCTGCCGCCGCTACCGTCACGATCTGATCGCTTTAGGATTTATTTCTCTAACGACCGGCGCGCGACAGGAGGCGGGGCGACGCGAGGTAGCGCGAGGCGGCAACCGCATCAACGGCCTTCGCATGAAGCTGTGTTCGTTGCACCGCCTCCTCCTGAAATAGAACCGCTTTATGAAAACATGTGATCTATCGTCGAGTTACGTGCGAAAGTGAATTGTTGTTTGTTATACTTATCGGTGGCGAATGTTTACGCGAGACCAGCTTAACTTATTAGAACCCGCGAGGGATTTGTGAACACTGGGAAGAAGCAGGTGCCGAGCTCGTTCTGAGGTAATGAATTGTTCTGTCAGAGCGACCAGTTGAGTTAAATTTAATGGGACTTCTATGCACGATTTACAGCTCTGTTTCCATCGTAATGTCCTCATACCATGCGCAAGATTAAAACAACGCTCTGAGTCTGCTCACATGTGGCTCTCGCTTCGTGCTGCCGATGATTAGGCAGGACGCATGTTATGGCTTCATGATCATTTAATAATATTTATTCAATCGGAACATGGGGTCGTTTAGAAGCATAAATAACTCAAGGAAGAGCAAGAATTTGTTGAATGTATGTATGAATGTTTTAAACTTTTCTAATGGATTCAAATTTTTAATTTGTTTTGATTGGTATCATATTTCAATTCTTTAAAGTATTGTTTGCTAATTGCCAATTTTACACTTGTTGTTGAGTTTATGTGATGTCTGCAATTTTTTTGATCAAATTTGTTGATCCGTCTTTTTGATTTCGACATTCAAAATTTGTCACTTTGTTGTAGAGTTTTTGTCTGATTTTAAAGACAAGTTTCTCTAAACGGATGGTCAATAGAAGCAGTTAATTTGTTTATAATTTTTGATTAGCTAATGTTTTGATTGCGAAGCAATAAGCAGTAAGCAGGTGCATGGTGGCCTTTAAAGTATAGTTGTCATAATTCTTCACTGCAAGATAACGTTGAACTGTAATGTGTTCATCTCACCGCAATTCGAGACATTCTGTCTCTCTGTGTAGAACGGAAGAAAATCTGGGTCTAACCCTGTGATAACTTTAGTCTTAGTGTTTCAATATTAATGAACTTCTGTGCTATACCAAAGATAAGTTAGACGAGCTTTCTCCTATTCTGATGTGCTGTAGTTTATAAAGGTATAAAGAGTGAGGTTTCACGAAATTTTCTTCTAATTCTAATGATTCTTGGATATTTTTGAGATTGCGTCTTCATATAAATATTTTGTAAGAGTTGTTTAATATTTTCCATCGTGGATTCAGAATATGTATAAAAAGCATTAAATTTTAGTAATCGTCATGACTATGAAAAAGTCAACATTCTAGTGCTAAATTACTTTGCAGATTTCGTGTAATCGAAGAACGAAATTGTTGTCTATGGCTAAATGAAGCTATATCATTTTCAATCAACTCAATCGGCATAATATTCGTTTAATTTTATTTTAATACTTATTGATATTCATTCACTATAATATTGGTTCATTCATTTATTGTTCTTCGTATGAAACTGAAATCGTTCAAAGCTGAAATAAAATATTTCATCTCTATTGCCAATGCTCTGTTTGGATCTCTGCATCTGGGTGCGATATTCTGCATTATTCAGTAGCTTTTGATATTAATTGAGTTTCTTTATTCGTGTACATTATTTAGGTTTAGCTTATATGGTCGTATTAAACCGGGAGCTTTATTAACACAGTAATTTATTTGTTTCCGTCGTTGCTTTGTGACGGCGATCACGTAAGGCGACTGTACTACTAAGCTCTATTGATAATATACCAATTGTTTGTATTAAAGAATGAATTAATTTCATTCCTAATCGCTCATTGAAACGGATGTGCACCAGCTACAGTTTATGTGCGCTTTTTACATTTTCACTTATTTTTGTGATAACATAGGAGGTTAATGTAATTTCGCATGCGTTAGCGGCAATTACATACTTTATGTATGAAAAATGTTACGTGAAATCTGTTTTCGTTTTCCTGGAGGTTCCATTCCTCGTCCCTGATTGGTGGGTTTAGCTCAGTGGCCGTCAGTGATTGGCTGACGGAGTTACAAACTCGTAACTGATTTTGATAGAGCGGTCCTAGCTCGCCAGTCGCGTCTAACTTACTTGTATTTCAATGTAAACTCCCACTAATGGTTAGCAACTCTGGTGAAAATTAACTGTTTTTCATCTAGTTTTGTAGTTTCCTGCAGTACTCGTGTTATTTTCATTCATGAATGTCATGTTTCTTCACGTTCAGGAAAACAATCAAATGAGTGTTCAAGAACATTTCCCTTTTCATATCTAAGCGTGAACTGTACGATTTGCGCTGTTGTAAGGAAATATTTTCATCTTTTATTTACTCCTAATTGATTTTCTAGTCACAAAATAATCTAAGCCTTTTCGGCTGCTGCCTTTTTATTAAACCTAATTGATTTGTTGTTCTTTCAATTCTCCCTACTTCTGGTATAGGATCCAAACGTGTTATGAAGAGCTGCAGTGTACTCGTACCATTCACTGGATTTTGAAGTTGATAAATAACAGCTTTTGAATAAGACAATTTCCTCAGGAAAAATCATAGAACGATCTAATAATATTTACACAATATATATAATACAAAACGGTAAATTTATTGTAATTTATCTTTTTTATTTTAGCTTTTCGTCACTGGAGTGACATTTCACGTACGCGTTGTCTCATTCGCCGTAAATGGAGGCGGTGTTGTCAATCACACGACGATGTCGCAGAAGCCTGAGCAGTGCGTCGCCCCTGTAGCGGTCTGATACCTGGCCGGCTTCTGGACAGCCGGCGGCTGCGCGGCAGAAACTCAACTAACACTCCACAAACTGCATGTCAAGAATGCCTAACATTTATATTGTATAAATAGCCTCTTCTATTTCAAATTTACTCAAATTTTGATTTTTGGGATTAAATCTAAAAGTATAACGCAGTTCAAGTATATAGTTTAGAAAGTAGCCTGCGCACGAAGGTGAATAGGTAAATTTGAACACAATTTCGTCATCATGAGAGAAGGATGATGTATGATTATTGCCTTCTTTTAAAGTGCGCTATCTCGGCCCAACTTAAAATTTATATGGGCTAATTTAGCGCCGTCAATTAAGCACGATTTGACTGCAAAATTTAATTTAAAATTGTATGCTTTAGCTTCTCAAATTTCAGAATCATATCGCATGTGAGAGTGCGAATGAACCTTGACTGTTTAGTCAGCGATTTATTGTACCGAGTAGCCACATTTATGCCTTTGATACTTTGATCTAAGCTCTAAGGTAAGTTCTCATGAATGAATTTATTATCAATTATAGTTTTATATTGTTCGAACCTCTATTAGGGTTTATTTTCTGTCAAACTGAACGGCATTTTTATTGAATATTTCGAGAAGGAATAACTTACAAAACAAAATATTCTGCGCATCATGAGCCTTAATATTATTTGTCTTTTTGGTAAGGTGTACTCTCTTTCAAATTTGTCTAAGTTATTAGATAGATGAAAAAACAATGTGTACAAGGTAAAGCGCCTTTGGAAATAAATTGCACCGTTTTCTGCACGTACAGCTCTGAATGTTTAAAAAAGGTGTTGGCTCTTTTCCATTTTGTGTTGAATTTGTAACTACAACTCGACTCGGTTCTTTTACTGTTCATAATGCGCTACCATTGCAAAAACTGTAATAAAGTATGCACTTGGTTACGAAACTTCACAAAGCATGGTAGCCTTTAAAGTTTAACGTACAAAAAAGCTTGCTCAGTCCTGAACTATGGCAGAGCTCCGATTTGCTCTTTTTTTAAACGTTTCTTCTTGGGTCCAGGAGCGACTGCATGAATATTCTTTCTACATTTTGGAAACAAGCCATAGGCATTTTTCATTGCTCCTGGACTTTTAGGGTAGCAGCTGTCCAATTCCTAAATGGCTTGATCTTTCCCTCGAGGAAAACTGCTGCATTTGTTGCCAACTCCGAGAGGGAATGACCTCTTCGGCTGTAAAATATCGACAGCGGGAGCGCATGTGCTTGGGAAACCACAGTATTTAAGTTAAAATAACTCCATGGATTTATTAAAATTAACTTGCGAGCGGCCAATTGAAAAACAGTAAGAGATAGAATGAACTACGGACGGTCATTCAATGCAATGAGGGAATGACTAGACTCACTAGAGCATTGATGCATCCATCGTGTGAAGAACAAAGTTGTTTATGACGATTGCATCGGAACGCGCTGAGTGGAAGAGTTAACCGTGACGAAAAAATGAAATCTTTAGATCCACGGTAAAGAAAATTTATTGGAACAAAATAGAAATTAGTTGTAAACTAATGAAGTTGAATAGCTGTGCTTGTTCAATTCTTCTATATTGAGGATCAAGCTACGATAGAGAAATAGAGAAACCAGTGATATGCGAAAACTAAAATTAGCCAAGAACTAAAAGTGTGGTCAACAGAGGATATTAAAATTATTTCCAAAAAAGAGGCACACTGTTTTTGGTTATAATAATATTGCACACCAAGTAAGAATTTTTACATTCAAGACGTTCCTTCATTCACTATAAACTTAACAGCAGGACTGACGTTTTTTTACAACTGCCGTCCTTTACAAGTAATCCTACTGGATCTTGACACCTTTTTGCTGCTCTTTGCACCTCCATGTCGCTTAATCTGCGACAAGCTATGGAGCACAACAGCTCGGGTGATGACCGGTTCTTAATGTGCCACCTGACACTCGACGGTGACAAGACAAGGACCGCTTTGGAATTTCAGAAGCTATTTAAGGATACAAAAATATTAAAAACTCTCAAAATTCGGTATCTTTTAACTTACATCGCTAGGTGAGGTATTATTGTTTCTAATGTTGTTTTTCGAAATTAAATTTTTCCGGTAATATTTTTGACACTACAAGCGAGCGTAATTATAAGTGAAGGACGATGATCCCAGTACTGCTTTGTTATCAAGACCGGCAAAATTTTTTACTGGGTTCAGCATGAAACTCGAACGTTTCGAAGAGATGCGCCCCAAATAAGAAAAATAAACAAGCTAGTAATCCACGTTTGCACGGTCCATTTTTAATCTAAAAATTACGTTGTAGTTAGTATAATATGTTGGTTGGAAGTCTTAATGTGTTTGTTTGAAATCTGACTCTATAAAACATTCAAACACTGTAGACGGGCGTATTCCCAATGAATACCGTGATCAAGGCTTTGTAAAATTGTGGTTGGAAAAACAAATTCGTTTTGAATTTTAATCAGTATGATAAAATTGAACTGTTAATCAATAATTAAAAGTAACATAACGTCCAAAGGTAGAAAAGAGGGTGTGATAGGAGGTATGACCTTTAAATATGTTGAAGGAGGTATTGACCGGGTCTTTCTTCAATTAAATTATTAATATTCAGGATTCATTATGATCTTGATGAAGATTGATAGAGAAATTCTGAAGTCTCAGAGATTGTTTATGTGCCGGAATTGTCTGCTAGTTTTTTTTTTGAAGCTCGGAAGTTTTAAAGTTTCCGAGCGAAACAGCTTCATTCGTCATTTTCAAATTACCTGCATACGTGAAACACATTTTCAACTATCCGTAAATTTCTATAATTCAAGTTTTCTGCAAGATAAATTTTGCACGCTAAACTAAAATTTGACCATTGAAGATACTTTTCATATAGGAAGATTTCTAGAAGCAGTCTGCATTTTTAAAGTTTTCGAGTTTCCATTCCATCCATTACTATGACTACAAATCTCAGTGAAACACTTTTTATTTTATTTATTTAAATAATAAGTGATGAGAATTTCTTCAAAGCTACGTTGATGTTCGCCTCATTCTTCTTCGAGAAAGTTTTCTCATACTCATCCTAAGATGATATTTAAAGATATCTCTCCTAATTGGCTGGGTTTGCATGTAATTCATCACTCTGTGTTCAGATTTCGACGACAAAAAAGTTCACTCTGCTGTACTCGCTAAGCTTTCTAGATCACAGCACGTAAAAATTATTACAAGAACTCGAATGGATGTTTTTTACGTTTTTAGCCACGCCGTGAGCGTTTGCGTTGACGGAGCGTAAGATCGATCGACGTCTTCTTTAATTTCCGCTGACAGCAACCGGCAAATTAGAATAATAATGGAGCTTGTTTGGACAAACTTTATTTCTTTCGTGTTGAGTCCATGTTTTTCTACAGACCTGCATGACCGAAGTGAACGAGTAATTAGGTTGAATAATTTGCTGCTAAAAATACTCGTTAATGGAGTTTTGTGATACGAGAAACATAACGTGCTGTTGTATTACTAGTGATTCATGAAACTGATAATGAAGATTCTTTTGAAATTTATTAAGCAATTGACTCAACTAATAGTAGATACGGACAATGATGCATCACTAACTTATGATTACACCATATTTAATTGAAACGGTAAATAACTATTATTTTCGCGAAATATATGATTGGGCAAGAATCTTTCTTCGCAGTATCGCGTTTCAAGCATAGTGACGTATTCGTTCAACACGAGATTCGCTGAAGTTGGTGCAAGTTGAGATTCATCTATATCGAGTTTTCTGTTTAGAGATCTCCTGCATTCGACGAATAGCTCGCTGACAAAAGAGTATTCAGCAGCGTTAAAGAGAAAACTTTTCGCATTTAAAAAGACTGCATTCAGCTTTGACGCCTCAGAATCACCCATTGAACGAGCTTCCAGTGTTGAAAGTCTCCACAAAGAGCATTGCATTCCTGATCGATTTTAAAAGTAAAAAATAAATGTTTTGAAGTCCTTGATTATTGATGTATAAAAAACAACAGATAATAAATGAAAGACTGATGACGGGTGTCCAATTGATGCGATTTGGAGCACGCATGATTAAAACCCTGATGAAATGAATGATGAAAATGACAATATATTAGAGGATATGTCCACCTTCTACTTCATACTTACATATTTTATCTTCGACCTACACATATGGAGCAGTGTCGAATAAAAGATTTCCTTCCAAATTTAATTCATGTCAATTTAGAAGGACACAAATGTTCGCAAAACTTAATGAACATTGCTCGTTTTCAAAATCCGCATGGAAAGAAAAGCATTACGTCCGAATTGAATACAAAATTACATCCACCTTGTTCATATGTATATAAGTATATTATCATTTACCGTATGAGGAACGAACATGAAAAATCTTAATTTTCAAATTGCAGACATTGAAAGGCAGGAATTTTTGCATGCAATTTCATAACGCTTCTAAGACGCTTTTGCGAAAGAAAAAACTTATCTTTCCCCCGTACCAAGCCCTTGAAGATACATATATTTGAGCAAAACTTTTATTTTTGCTCATAATTATAGCGTTGAATTTCAGAGCGATCTTGTGGCCGGGTCTATAAAAAAGGATTTCTGAGCAAGCTCGTAAGTTGCAGAGCATCTTGTGAGGTGAGATTGTAGGGTCCATTGATGGATC